ACTAATTAATTATAATCACTCATGCTTAAAATCACATTCATCCAATTTAATTTCAAAGTTGTTGTTTTTTTCTCGTTCTAACGTATTGCTAACCATTGGTAAAAAAATTTCCCATGTTTTAAAATAGATAAGAGTCTTCTTTCTCTTTGATCTCTAAAGTTAATCTATCCATTTCTGCGCATTCTAGAATTTTAGTAATTATAGTCTGGTCAGGTGGTAAATCTTCATTTTTCCAAAGTTGGGCAAATACTATTCTCGCCGCTGTCAATAACGTGCAATATTAAATATTCATTCTATTTTGGGTTTTTTTCAATGACCAATTTTTTATCAAGGGGCTAATGGCAGGAAAGCAGAAAAGCAATAAGCGTTAAAATCTGTGAGTTTTTTAAATGGTTGTAGCAGAGATAATCTACTGTTACTGTTTACTGTTCTTTTTCCGCTCTTTTGCTTTTAAAGAATGAATCAATTTGCAGCTATAAAGTTTTTTACTGTTTCCCACTATTTAAACAGTCAAAAAACATTGACATAAGCATGTCAATTCACACCATTTTCTTATCTTCGCTCATTTTTGGAAAAAAAAAATCCAATTGCCCTCGTTAAAGAGTGGTAATTCTTATGAATTCATTTCCAGTTGCTTCTGACAATGTAAGAGCTCAGTGAATAGGTGAGAAAAAAAGACTGAAAAATTCCCCAAAGCATCATTAGCAACAATAGCAACGCAATCACTGTATATAAAAACGCAAAGGTGGCAAATGACACCAGTGAGATTAGCAAAAGTGTTTAAAAATACTTCAAACAACTGTTGAAAATGCAAACAAAGGCTAGGTACGTATTATCACATCTGGTGGACATGCCCCAAAGCAAAAAGGTTTTGGGTTAAAATACATTTATCAATGGTTTGAGAAAATGACTAAAAAAACAAACAGATTTTAAACCAGAATTATTTTGGTTAGGAATAATAGGAGCTAATGATGAGAAAGATTGCAGATATCTAATACTACACGTATTAACGTCAGCAAGAATTGTATTTGCCCAACATTGGAAAGATGAAAACTTAGCAACTGAAGAAGTACTAATTAAGAAAATTCTAGAGTGTGCAGAAATGGATAGATTGACTTTAAAGATTAAAGAGAAAGAAGACTCAGTCTACTTTAGATTAGAACATGGGATAATTTTTATCAATGGCTAGAAAAACGAGTCAGAGAGAAAGGAATGTGATATGTAGTTTTGAATATATATTAGCAAGAAGAAGGCTTAAGTGATTAATTAACATATTGTTTATGATAATTAACTATATCTATTATTGTTAGTTAAATACACGCACCCAGACGTTATGCTGTTTGCTAAACATTGAAAATGTTATTTGGAAAAACCCCAACACCACCTTATCCCTAACCCTATAAAAACTAATAAAATCATACAAAAAACCCCCACACAATCACGCTGGACAATTACCGTAACACAAAATCGGCGTTGTCGATCTCCTGACCACATCCGCTGTTCTTCAAAATTCCTCCGTTTCCAACCACCGCACATTTCTTAAACTGGGAACGAGAATAGGGCATCTCCTGGGCCAAAGTGGAAGAAGGTGAAAAATTAGGAGCAATTGTTGGAAAGGTTGTTCACGTTTATCTTGGGGCGAAAGGATGTAAACCCTGTACAGGTCCAGCCGTTGGGCAGCGCTCTGCAAATGCTCCAACACTGGAAGTTTTTAAGAAGAGACTGGACAGCCATTTGTCTGAAATGGTATAGGGTTTCCTGCTTGAGCAGGGGGTTGGACTAGATGACCTCCAAAGTCCCTTCCAACTTTATTATTATTATTATTATTATTATTATTATTATTATTATTATTATTATTATTATTATTATTATTATTATTATTATTATTATTATATCTTAATAATTAAAAGGAATATACAAATAAATTAAAAGAACAACCTGGATAACGAGTTAAAAGTTTAAAGGCTTAAAAGCAAGAATTCATAAAAACATCTTAACGCTATTCGGAGCATTTGAGGGCAGCCACTGCTCAAGAAAGTTGGAATTTAAAAATTTAAAAAAAAAACATAATGTAACAGCCAATCTAAAACCAGCTCGGATTGCTTGCATCCAGATAAACCTTTTGTAGAATTTTTTAATTAGCTAGTAAGGCACTGTGAACTGTCAGCTTAACAAAATTGAACGGAACTGAACTGAATTGAATAACTTTTATTGTCCTTTTGTCATTCCTGATTTAACAGCGTTTTGTACGTAAAGCGGAGAGGCCGATGGCATTAGAAAGAATTTTATAAATCATTTGCTAAATATAACAACATGGAGTCTCTCCAGCTAGAAAAAAAGTGTCAACAAGTTTAGAGGCTTAAGATTTCATCTCTGCTGTATTTGATGTCATACTACTGGGGTGGAAAAAAATAATTGCGTGTGACCTTGGATGCTGAGGGTATCGGATTAAGAAGGGCCAAGATTTTGACTCAAGGGGCTGGCATCTTGCACATTCAGAAAGACCTTACAACAGTGCTACTAATACATACAGTAGTAACCTTTTGGGAAAAGTGTACAGTAGAAATGCCACCTTTGGTTAAGTTTCCACCCATTTTTCTTCGAATTTCTTTATAACCTGCAGCCTAGTTCACTTAACAATACTATTTTACATCGCTTTCTGGGCAACCGGTCAACTCTTTGCACCATGACTTTAATTTTATTACGTTTTGCAAGCTCACTAAATGAAAGAACACAAAAAAACCCAACCGACTTGATAGCCATCACATAACACACTGACAAATGTCCTCCTCTCAGCTTCAATACAGGACATCAGTCACTGGATCCTACCGTAATCTGATTGGCTCGTTGCCAAAACAAGATGACACCTGATTGGCTCTCTAAACACTCATGCTCATTGGCTGCAATCGGATGAAGGAAAGCTACCTGAGATCAACCTAAGCAAGGTGTGCTTCCTTTTTCTGGTTATTTGGCTATAACATTTCATAGAATACAGATAATTGAACAAACTTTGTTGCATTACGTTCTTGATTAAATTATCTTTCCATTGATATATAATTTTATGGTACTACTCCAAAAAAAAGGAGGGTGTTATTAGCCATCCAACCTCAAAAATACACTTTTCCCAAAAGGTTTCCCCAAGTTTTGGCCACTACTGTACATAGTCCCTCAGAAGTGGTAATAAGTAAATCACTGGCAAATTTTAATGTTGCCGTGACTTTTTTCACTGAATAGTGTCAAAAAAGTGTGAATGCTGGCAACGTCGGAGGGATCCTAGTGCACTAGCTTTAGGTCTACAAATCGTTGACCGAGGATAAATACTGCCAACGTCACACAGGGCCCTAGCACACTAGGGAAAAAATTGACCTTCTGACAAGCAAAGTCAATGGGGGAGCCCGGTTCACTTAACAACAGTTTGCAGGAAAGATTGTAAAAAGGAACAAAAAACACTCAACAACCGTCTGGCTTAGCAAGAGACATTTTGGGCTGAGTTGTCGTCACAGGTTGAGGACTACCTGCAGTTTATGAATAGTAAGTTTGCAACATAGAAACAAATGTGATTTTAAGAAAATGATTAAAGCATGCACAGTGTGATACTCATAAAAGAAAACAAACAGTCCACTACAGCTCTGAAGTCAGTTAGAGGCAACTAACAGGTCAGAGGTCACCAAGCTTTTCATGCCGGCGGCCCCAAGGGAAAGGGAGCAGCTGGGAAATTTGTGTGTGTGTGCGCAACTGTCAATGCTGCTAACATCGGATGTTTTTGCATTGACAACAGATGGAAATGCAGCCTTCTTTTTCCCTTTTGCTTTTAAGTTAGATGATGCTGGGAGGAGGGGGGATGTGAACAAGAGTCCAGTCAAACATAACAACACTAAACCTAGCGTGAGAAATAAGGTTATTGAAATAAGAGATGATAAGAATTGGCAAGCTGGAGAGGAAGCCCGCACTTCAAGCTAATTGGGGAATGTGATTTATGACTGTTAATTGGAGGAGGGAATTGTGCTTTGATACTAGGTGCCCAGGGGAGGGGAATTCAGTTTTTGGCTTCGATTATGCAGTGCCAATGTTATGCTACTCGAATAAAAGATTCTTTAAGGTAAACAATGCCTCGAAGTTCTTTTGAAGAGTTTCATCTGTCGGAACCATGACACGAACGGAGCTGCACGTGAACGGGGCCGCACACACCCACATGGCACTAGCGGCCCGTTTGTGCATGCATGCAGGTGCTAGCCACCCCCACTGCTAGCACCCACACACATGCGCAAATGAGCCATGCAACCCACACAGGGCTAGCGGCCCCATTTGTGCCTGCCTGCAGGCACAAGCTACCACAGCTAGCAACCGTGCACATGTGCAAACGGGCAGTGTAACCCACGCGCATGCCAGCAGCTCCATTTGCAGAGGCACTAGCTGCCATTGCTAGCCCCGCACACATGCGCAAACGGGTCTGAGGGCGCTAGCGCGAGGAGTGTGTGCACACACGTGCGTGCACTGGCCAGCCTGTCCCATGGCCAGTAGGCCACGGCCTGGTAGTGGGCCACGGCCCATAGTTTGGGGACCCCATAATAGGTGACAGAGTTAACATGTGCAACATTTCTGGATACTCCCCTGCTCTCCAAGAGCTGGAGAAATAAACTTGCCTCTCTAGCCACTCAATTAACCATGGAAGCAAAGGTATTAATAATAATAATAATAATAGTAAAGTTGGAAGGGACCTTGAAGATCATCTAGTCCAACCCCCTGCTCAGGCAGGAAACCCTATACCATTTCAGACAAATGGCTGTCCAGTCTCTTCTTAAAAACTTCCAGTGTTGGAGTATTCACCGCTTCTGGAGGCAGGTTGTTCCACTGGTTAATTGTTCTCACTGTCAGGAAGTTTCTCCTTAGTTCTAGATTGCTTCTCTCTTTGATTAGTTTCCACCCGTTGCTTCTTGTCCTGCCTTCAGGGGCTTTGGAGAATAGCTTGACTCCCTCTTCTTTGGGGCAGCCCCTGAGATACTGGAAGACTGCTATCCTGTCCCCCCTCGTCCTTCTCTTCATTAAACTAGACATACCCAGTTCCAGCAGCCGTTCCTTATATGTTTTAGCCTCCAGTCCCCTAATCATCTTTGTTGCTCTTCTCTGCACTCTTTCTAAAGTCTCAACATCTTTTTTACATCGTGGTGACCAAAACTGGATGCCGTATTCCAAGTGTGGCCTTACCAAGGCCTTGTAAAGTGGTATTAACCCTTCACCTGATCTTGATTCTATCCCTCTGTTAATGCAGCCTAGCACTGTGTTGGCCTTTTTGGCAGCTGCAGCACACGGCTGGCTCCTGTTTAAGGGATTGTCCACTAGGACTCCGAGATCCCTCTCACAGTTACTACTATTGAGCAAGGTGCCACCTATGCTGTACTTGTGCAATTGGTTTTTCTTGCCTAAATGTAGAACCTTGCTTTTTTCACCATTGAATTTCATTTTATTAATCAGTCTTCTGCCACGTGGTCAACTACAAGGAAAGTAATAAATCCTTTCCCCAGGTAGAAGAAGTCTAGAACCCAAATGCCAAATGGGAGGGAAAGTCTGAGAACTAAATGTTAGATTCTGGAAAATGATGGGAGTTCTCTAATTAACAGTAACTCAGGGGTGTCCAAACTTGGCAATTGTGGACTTCAGCTCCCAGAATTCCTCAGCCAATCCTGCTAGCTGGGGACTTCTGGGAGTTGAAGTCCACAAGTCTTAAAGTTGCCAAGTTCGGAGACCCCTGACGTAACTCACAAAGACTTTTTGGGGGGAAAGGCAAAGTGAAACTCCAAATGAGTTCAAAATCGACAATACGCAAGAGGTGGAAAGCAATGGAAAGACCTTCTTCAGAAGACAACAGATGGGTTAATCAAATCCTGGTTTGAACAATCCACGGTTTGCTAAACAAACCCCAGTAGGCTGGGGTGACACTACACCGAAACTGAACATGAACACATTCCATTATCGTGTCATGTAGAGTCTGAACTACCGTTAGTGGATCAAGTCTCCCGTCAGCCGCAACCTGATTCGGTGGCCTGATTTAAATTATGTTGATTGGACATTTTCTGCATGGATAGGATAGCTCTGATGTGATGTGCTAAATATAAATTATGCTGCCTCTCTCTCGATGTGCAGGAATGAGGTGGCAGATGGCAGACCCATCAGAGCAACTATGAAGCAAATCACAGCAAAGTTATTTCAGCCCTTTGCTCGCTCTTCATAGCTGCTACAACAGGGCTTTTCAACCTTTTCACCCATTGTGCCACTTTTAGGATATGGCAACATCCGAGGACCACCAGGCGCCTAGCAAGGGGTCAAAAACTTGATGACCCAAAAAAAAAAAAGGAAAAAAGTGATAAAGTACAGGTAGTCCTCCACTTACAACAGTTCGCTTAGTGACTGTTCAAAGTTACAATGGCACTGAAAAAAGTGCCCCCCAAGCCACAGCCGAGCAAGACACCTGCCTGCCCGCCCAGTGGCGCTCTTCCTCCTGTCCGAGGTTTCCATTGTTGTGAGCTTTTCTGTTGAGGATTGGCAGTGGGGGTGTGGGGGTGTGGTTTTTATTCCCCCCCGTCTGCTGGGTGGTTGCAGCAGGTTTTGGTCACTTCACATGACCCTGGGACACTGTGACCGTCATAAATATGAATCAGTTGCCAAGCATCTGAATGTAAATCACAAGACCCTGGAGATGCTGCAACATTCCAGCTGATCGGCGCTTCTTCTGGGCTCAGCGGAAGCGCCAGGATCAGCGCCGAGGTCCAGCTGGAGCCTGGCGCTGATCCTGGTGCTTCCACTAAGCCCTGACAGCCCCGAAAAAGCGCCAATCAGCTGGAAAGCGGCACTGATCCTGGCGCTTCCACTGAGCCCTGACAGCCCTGCAGCTCCAGCCATCTCTTGCTCAGGCTTGTGCGGTGCTGCCACCGGTTCAGCTCATTCCCCTCCCCTACTACCACTTTTCTAGGATGGTCGCGTACCACCTGCCAGGTGCCAATGTACGACGGGTGGTACCCGTACCACTGGTTGTAAAGCCCTGTGCTACAAAATCCAGGCAATGCCTTTGCGTCCCACCAAAGGGGTCAGATCTACAGTAGCAGCCAAAATTGTGGAAACCTTTTGGGAAAAGTGTATTTTTCAGGTTGGATGGCTAATAACACCACATTTTTTTTGGGGGGGGGAGTAGTACCATAAAATTATATATCAACGGAAAGATAGTTTAATCAAGAATGTAACGCAACAAAGTTTGTTCAATTATCTGTACTGTATTCTATGAAAGGTTATAGCCAAATAACCAGAAAAAGGAAGCACAACTTGCTTAGGTTGATCTCAGGTAGCTTTCCTTCATCTGATTGCAGCCAATGAGCATGAGTGTTTAGAGAGCCAATTGGGTGTCATCTTGTTGTGGCCATGAGCCAATCAGGTCACAGTAGGATCCAGTGACTGATGCCATGTATTGAAGCTGAGAGGAGGACATTTGTCAGTGTGTTATGTGATGGCTAACAAGTTGGTTGGGTTTTTTTGTGTTCTTCCATTTAGTGAGCTTGTAAAACGTTATAAAATTAAAGTCATGGTGCAAAGAGTTGACTGGTCGCCCTGAAAGCGATGCAAAATAGTATTATTAAGTGAACAAGGCTGCAGTTATAAAAGAAATTAGAAGAAAAATGGGTGGAAACCTAAACCAAAGGTGGCATTTCTACTGTACACTTTTCCCAAAAGGTTTCCACAATTTTGGCCACTGCTGTACTTATGGAGAATTATTTTTAAGTCGACCAAGCTACCACACCTTAGGAAACATTCTGAATACTTCGACGTTGATATGGAAAATGCCGCTGGTATCCACTTCGTATTTCAGGTCTGTTCCCAGGGGTGCGTTCTTTTGTGTGGTGAAGAGGAATGCTGGTGCATTGCAACATCTGGACAAAGTAGACCTGTGTGAAGAAGCAGGAAGGATACACGTGAATCGTGGTGGCGCAGTGGCTAGAATGCAGTATTGCAGGCTGATTCGCTGCCCACTGCCAGGAGTTCGATCCTGGCGCGGTTCAAGGTTGACTCAGCCTTCCATCCTTCTGAGGTCGATAAAATGAGGACCTGGATGGTTGGTGGGCAATATGCTGACTCTGTAAACCGCTTAGAGAGGGCTGTGAAGCGGTATGTAAGTCTAAATGCTATTGCTACTCCTTCCTTCCTTCCTTCCTTCCTTCCATAATTTTGGTCATCATACTTCAAAAAAGATGTTGAGACCATGGAAAAACTTCAGAGAAGAGCAACTAAGATGATCAAAGGCCTGGAGGCTAAAACATATGAAGAATGGCTGCAGGACTTGGGTTTGGCCAGTCTAAAGAAAAGAAGGACTAGGGGAGACATGATAGCAGTATTCCACTATCTGAGGGGCTGCCACAAGGCAGAGAGGGTCAAGTTGTTCACCAGAGCACCAGAGGGAAGGATGAGAAACAATGGTTGGAAACTGACCAAAGAGAGAAGCAACCTAGAACCAAGGAGAAACTTCCTGACAGGGAGGACAATCAACCAGTGGAACAGAGCTTGCCACCAGAAATCGTGGGCACTCCATCACTGGAGGTTTTCAAGAAGAGACTGGACAGTCACTTGTCTGAGATGGTAGAGGTCCTCCTGCTTGAGCAGGGGGCTGGACTAGAAGACCTCCAAGGCCCCTTCCAGCTCTTCTATTCTATTCTATTCTATTCTATTCTATTCTATTCTATTCTATTCTATTCTTTCCATATTCTACTCTTTCTATATTCTACTCTTTCCATATTCTACTCTTTCCATATTCTATTCTATTCTATTCTCCATTCCATATTCTATTCTATTCTATATTTTTTAATTCTATTCTATTCTATTCTCTATTCTCTATTCTATTCCATTCCATATTTTCTGTTCTATTCTATTCTATTCTATTCTATTCTATTCTATTCTATTCTATTCTATTCACAGCAGCATTCCAGTATTTGAGGGGCTGCCACAAAGAAGAGGAGGGGGCCAAACTATTCTCCAAAGCACCAGAAGGCAAGACAAGAAACAATGGTTGGAAACTGATCAAGGAGAGGAGCAACCTGGAATTAAGGAGAAACTTCCTAACAGCGAGGACAATTAACCAGTGGAACCACCTGCCTCCAGAAATCGTGGGTGCTCTTATCACTGGAAGTTTTTAAGAAGAGGCTGGACAGTCACTTGTCTGAGATGGTATAGGTTCTCCTGCTTGAGCAGGGGGCTGGACTAGAAGACCTCCAAGGTCCCTTCCAGCTCTATTCTATTCAAAAGCCCCAACACATGTAAACGTGCTATGTTGGAGGAGACACAGCTCAGAGGAACCATCATCTGATTCAGTGGCTGGGTCCTGTGATTGAAGCATGGTTTGTTGAACACATCACATTGGCTGGGTCACTGTTCCTATATAGTCTGACTGGTTTTAAGTAAAATACAGCCGGGCAGATTTGTTCACAGTAGTAAAAAAAGAAATAATTTATACCTCCGTCTGGAGCTGAAAAACAATCAACCTGCAATCAACAATTACCCATTCTCGCTGTCTAGATAAGAGTTGGGGGCTAGGGATTTGACTGGGTTTTCTAAACTCTCTTAGCCTCAAGTTGACCCCCCCCCATCTTACTTGAAGAACTTGGCCTCCATGATATTCATCTCCCACTTGCAGATCTGAAGGTTCCTCCACCTTTCAAACAATTCGGTCTGCTTCGCTCTAGAACAGGCAGAAAGAAAGAAACGGTCCCCTCAGAACTGAATTCCAAAGGCAGCAGAATGTACATCCCAGTTTTGACAACAATGCAACTTCGTCCTGGTCACGTGTGCGTGTATCTACACACACACACACACACACACACACACACACACACACACTCTTCCAAAGCAAAGAAAAACACAGGATATGGAATATGTCTGTCTGTCTGTCTGTCTGTCTGTCTGTCTGTCTGTCTCTCTCTCTCTCTCTCTATCTATCTATCTATCTATCTATCTATCTATCTATCGTCTTATCTGTGTCTGTCTATTTAATTGTGTCTGTCTGTCTGTCTGTCTGTCTGTCTGTCTGTCTTTGTTTGTCCTATCTATCTGTCTGTCTGTATGTCTGTCTTTCTACCTACCTACCTACCTACCCTACTCTCTCTATCTATCTCTATATCTACATCTACATATATATCTGTATCTGTATCTCTATATCTATCTATATTTTTATATCTCTGTCTCTGTCTGTCTGTCTCTCTATCTGTATCTGTGTGTGTGTGTATATATATGTCTATATCTATATTTCTATATTTTTATATCTCTACCTACCTACCTCTCTATCTATCTTATATCTACATATACATATATATCTCTATCTCTATCTATATTTTTATATCTCTATTTATCTGTCTGTCTGTCTGTCTGCCTATATCTATCTATCTATCTATCTATCTATCTATCTATCTATCTATCTATCTATCTATCTATCTATCTATCTATCTATCTATCTATCTCATATCCTGTGGTTTTCTTTGCTTCTTTTGCCTGTCAACAAAAGAATATTCGCATAGCAGGTGGACAAGAGTCCAACTTGCTGATTAGACACGGGCAACTGGTGGGTTGCTCCAAGTCCAACCCTCTTCGGTTCTCCACCACTCCTTTGAGCGCCAGCCCATTGGATGAACTTGGGGAAATGTAAACACTCTTCTGCCAATCTTGTCTTCAAGACCTCATCAGTGGTTCCAGAAAAACTAGCAATCCTAGCAGATGCCGGGTGCACACTAGCTCTCCTGCAAGTTGGAGCAGACTACGTATGAGCTGACTTACACCTCCTGTTTGGTTCCACCTCGCCGTACTCACCAACCCCAACGGGAAAACCTTAGATGTTTGGAGAATCACTGCAAAGTGTAAACTTGAAAACAGCCTTTTCAGGACAAAAAGGTTGGATTCTGCCACGCCCTTGGTTCAGAACGGCCTAGGCCAGGGGTAGGCAACCTCGGCTCTTTTATGACTCATGGACTTCAACTCCCAGAATTCCTGAGCCAGCATGGCTCAGCTTGGAAACCTCTCCCTTTCCCCTCAGCATGGCTGGCTCAGGGATTCTGGGAGTTGAAGTCCACGAGTCATAAAAGGGCCAAGTTTGAAGACCCCTACCCTAGGCCTAGAGTCTAGACCAAGGGTAGGCAACCTTGGCTCTTTTATGACTCGTGGACTTCAACTCCCAGAATTCCTGAGCCAGCACGGCTCAGCTTGGAAATCTCTCCCTTTCCCCTCAGCATGGCTGCCTCAGGAATTCTGGGAGTTGAAGTCCACCAGTCATGAAAGAGCCAAGGTTGCCTACCCCTGGCCTAGGAGAAAAGGGATGAATGTATCCTACTTACACCGTCAGAACCTTCAGCGCCATTATTTCCCGCCTTAGATCCACACATTTTGTAGAGTTGTATTCAAAAGGACCGTCATAATATTCAAAGTACCTGAGGAAGAACAAATGAGACACAAAAATAAATGTCAGGCAACATCTTCACACAACTGGGTGCAGTCTTCAAATACGTTTGTCGACCAATCCCGCAAGTCCCACTCATCTAACTGTGGTTTGTAAAGCATGTAGTTTCCAAAAAGACGTTGAGACTCAGAGTTCAGAGAAGAGCAACCAAGATAATCAGGGGACTGGAGGCTAAAACATATAAGGAACGGTTGCAGGAATTGGGTATGTCCAGTTTAACGAAAAAGGACTAGGGTGGACATGATAGCAGTCTTCCGATATTTGAGGGGCTGCCCCAAAGAAGAGGGAGTCAAGTTATTCTCCAAAGCACCTGAAGGCAGAACAAGAAGCAACAGATGGACACTAAGGAGAGAAGCAACCTGGAACTAAGGAGAAACTTCCTGAGAGTTAGAACAATTAACCAGTGGAACAACCTGCCTCCAGAAGCGGTGAATGCTCCAACACTGGAAGTTTTTAAGAAGAGACTGGACAGCCATTTGTCTGAAATGGTATAGGGTTTCCTGCCTGAGCAGGGGGTTGGACTAGAAGACCTCCAAGGTCCCTTCCAACTCTGTTATTCTGCTCTATTCTGCTAAGAAGGAAACAGACAAGCTATACAATGAAGAAACAGACACACACACACACACCCAAAAATGCAGCAGCTTTGTTCACACAAGTTCTTCCTTTGGTTACCAAATTAACCCACTTTCTGGTGTTTGCAGAACGACTCCATTTGCAGAAGGACTATCCCATGTTTTAATGCTGCAATCCACGCGGAATTGTTTCGATGATGAGATGGGTGGGAAATAAACCTGATCGATAAATCTATATAAATAAAAATGTAAATGTTTGTTTGTTCAAAATCCTAAATCTCTGAAAGTTCTTCACCGATTGCTTTGAAATTTTGACACAACGTTGCATTCGAATACGTGCGTGTTTTTATATCCCTACTATTATATAGATGTCACACCTGTGACAGGTAAAAACATGCTTTTTGTGAAAAACAGCGCCATCTGTTGGATGTAAAAGCAACACACGCTACATATTACAAACGTGCGCTTTCTCTTTTCTTTCTTTTCCATTTAACCAGACTGAGCCACAGCAACGCGTGGCTGGGTACAGCTAGTAAGTGAATAAATACGGGCTGGATCTGAACCACAAGGTTAGCAAGAACCCTAACCGGAGTTCTGCCTGCTTTGGAAAGCCAATTCTGCCGTCTGGTGCTTTTATAGTCATCTGAAATTACCTGAATTACCTGAAATTAACCTACAGGGTCGTCCTCGACGCGTGATCCCAATTGAGCCAAAATTTCTTGTTGCTAAGCGAGACGCCATATTTGTTAAGAGAATCACTGCCGTTATTAAATTAGCAACACGGTTCTTAAGCGAATTTGGCTTCCCCATTGACTTTGCCTGTCAGAAGGGGATCACGTGACCTCAGGACACTGCGACCGTCATAAATATGAGTCTGTTGCCAAGCATCTGAATTTTGATCACGTGACCAGGCGGATGCTGCAATGATCCTAAGTGTGAAAAACGGTCGTTAAGTCTCTTTTTCCACGCTGTCGTAGCTTCAAACAAATGGTTGCTAAGTCAAGGATCCCCTGTGTTTGCTGCTAAAGACATTGGGGAAATCTTGTGTTGAAGAATCTGGTGGGCTATTTTGCCTATTTTTTTTTCCTGTCCGTGCAATCATGTCCAACTCTCACTGTCCATTCAATTAAATTAAAGTTAAGGTGGAGCAATTTATTATGTTAATAATAGAGCAGATTATGAATTTTAGATCATTATTGCTGTTTAAATGTTATAACAGTTTACTTATTATTTTCAATTGTTAGTATGATGTTATTATTAGTGTGTTCAATAATTGGATATGGGTTTAAAAGAGTGGGGTTTTTTTTAGTGAATTTTAGAGTATTATTGTTGCTTAAATGACTTAGTTTTATTTTTTTACTTCTTAATATGATGTTATTATTATTGTGTTTAATTGAATTTCAATTGAATTTTAGAGTATTATTGTTGTTTAAATGACATAATTGTTTACTTATTTTTAATTTTAATTACTAATATATTATTATTATTGTGTTTATTAATTATATATTTGTTGAAAAGAGAGTTAAAGGAGGTTACAGATTTGTTATTTTAATAGTTTTCAGATAGAGTTAAAGGAGGTTACAGATTTGTTATTTTTATAGTTGTTTAAAATTATTTAGAGTATGATTATTTTATTATTATTCCTGTGATTGGCTATGGGAAGTGGGGGGGGAGGGAGGGGGTGGAAGGG